GTATATATTTAAAAGTTTGTAATACTGGTCAAATAACTAATTATTCATTTCTTAATAATTCTCATTTTAAATTTAATTAAATTTTGTAAAATTGGATATCGATAAACTTTTAAATTCATTACCACATTCATTTGTAACAAAAACTTATTGAGAATTTGGGGTGAGGTTTAGATTCAAATAAATGCGGTATATTGGTAAATAGATTCTTAGTATGGTATTAGTCCTTTCACAACTTTATTTATGTTCTTATTCCCCCTTACATGTACAGAAATAGGAAGCATGAAGTTCTCAACAGTCTAGGAAGTTGTTAATCATATGATATATATAAATGCTTTTACAAATCTTAATAAACTCAAACTCAGTGATGCAATAGCTCATGAGGGACAGGGCCTACTGTGCCCATCCCAGTATATGTGACCATTGGGCACTGAGGTGCATGAGCATATGTCCCGTTCAGGTGGTCAGTCTGAAGCGACAAATGTTAATAATAATACATTTAATAATTAAATAAATTATGATAGATTTAAGAATGATATATGGTATATTTCTATATATAAGCCGATCCGTGTAAAAGCCGAGAGTGAATTTTTCCTTCAAAAATTTACTCAAAATTCAAAACCTGTTTATAAGTCGAATTGAAAAAAAAGATTATGCTATTTTCAAATATATTTGCAATGAGGATGAAAATGTATCTAAGAGAGTAAAATGTGTGGATATTTTCCAATAAAACTGCTGTAATGTAAGACGCGAAAGAAGATAATTTTATTTTTGGTAATCCTATTTGAAGCTAACATATATTTTTCCTATTCGTTTGCTACTTTGTGCACTGTCTGTCCTAGTCATACTTTCAGCGCCATTTTCTCTTCGGAAAATGAGCGGGAAGAAAAATTCGTATATGGCAAGTGATCGTCAGCCGATGTTTCAAGCCACGTAGGAAAACCCCCGCATGACCCGCATTCTGACATCCCAATGAGTGAATGTAAATTTTAAAAAATTGTACAGAAACTAGGATTCTGACACTAACTTTGAAGAATTTATGTGACTTCATTTCCCTTTGGAATAAAAGTTCCATTCGAAGCATCTAAGGAGCTCAAAGATTGAAATATTTTTTTTTTGAGATTAGCAGATCCGTATAAAAAGCCTCACCTTAGTTTAACTTTTAAAAATGCTTCAAACATTCTTGGCTTGTATACGGAAATAAACTATATATAAGGTAAGGTAAAGTACATATATAAGGTATAGTACAATATAAGGTATTATTTTTGATTAAAAATCTCTATATTTATGATATACAAAAACGCAATTTGAAATAAAATCAAATATGATTCATAAAACTCGGAGTTTCTTATTAATAATGACAAATTATCCACATATAAGTTATAATTCTGCTGCTTACATTTTTTTTTTGGTTTTTTAACAGCGTAATAAATAAAGGTATCACGAAATTCTCCGTGCCGAAATAATTTTTCGGATTTTTTTAATGTCCTTTTGCCGTCCTCTATCGCCATTCTACACTGCAGTCTCTGAAGAAAGAATCTTTGTCTAAGATAACCTTTCCCACAACCCGTTTTTTCTCCCACCGTTTACTTACCGACAAACAAATGCCGTCGAAATCCTTCATAACGGATTAAAAGATTGTCTGAAACCCATAAAAAACATTTATAAATTTTCTCGAGATCCAAGGCCCGACTTTCTCTTTGTTCGATCCGCACCAACACGTGTCTAATTAAAAAACTACACACCCCCACCCAGTCCATGAACACAATGCATTATTATCCAAAATCGCTGATATGGTGTGGGTGCATCCTGAGAAAAACAATGGCCAAATAGCTATTTCTAGCCTCGAATGAATACTTTAAAACAGACATAGTAGACGCAAGATTTTTTTTATTGTTCTTGCCGACATACACAAAAAGAGAAATAAAACTCTCATTTAATGTAAAAGGGGACATCGGGTTTCTATGTCTGCAGCGAAATTCGGATTGTCCGCAAACAATGGAATTTATGGGATTGTGACGATCGAATTAAAATGCTAGTTGATCATAAGAAAGAAAAGGAGAGAAAATATCTCAGTGCATTGTTGAAAAGATATATCTTTGATATTTTTAGGATTCTCATGAGCTTTATACTTCATGGTTGTTCTGTAATGATGAAGGAAAGAAGCAAAAATAAAAAAATTAGCCGTGAAAAAGAAGAAATAGATTCATCATTAGTTTGGGTTCGGAGTTGGAAATCTAATTATGTTCAATTGGTTGATTTCTTCGAAATACCATATGAGTTCGTTGTTATTTTCCCTTAGGAAGCATAAAAATATTTTCGAAAAAGTAATCACGAAAATATGTTCCACAACAAGTTAAAAGTATAGTATTCGAATAATATGAAAAAAACAAACAATCAAATATTAATATATTTTTTTTTGCTGTTTAATATAATATACATATATGAGTGTAATATTTCTTAAATATAAGAATAAATTATATATTTATTCAAATGCTTGGTTATGCTTTTTCTATAACAGTGAAAAGGTTATTAATAGATAGTCTCATCGTCACAATATTTCCTAATATTAAACTGGATCTGAACACTTCGTAATCTTGCTGCGAAATGTTAAAACCTGTAAAGGGTGTCAAACTTGCGGCCCGTAAGCTGCATGCGCCCCGGTGAATATATTGGTCCACAATATGTAATAAAATATCAAAATTTCTCCTGAAATAGGATAGATAGTAACAGAAAAGAGATGTCAAGCTTCAGAATGTATATATTAAATTTTTTCTGCTCTTTTATTAATGTTTTTTAAATGTATTATTCTTAATAAACCTACGTTTCTATGGAATTTGATTTTCTTTGCGGCCCACCTTAAGTTAAACCTTGTTCCTTTGGCCCTACGTCAGGCTTTGAGTTTGACACCCTAGCTGTAAAGTCATCGTTCAGCAAAATTTGCAGAAAGCTTATCGTAACTGCAATGTACTTAGGCTGATATAATTCCACTTATCAGAGCAATATGCAAAATATTAAAAATTGTACTGGGCAATCAAGGTTGTAACGGATTATCTCGCGTGGTTGTTCTTTTAAAATAGTTTTGGGGTTTACCGTTAAGAAAAATTTTGTGACCGCGGTAGCTTGGTGGTCAAGGTAACGGACTCGTGGCCGGTGTGTCATGAGTACGAGTCTAGTACCGCTGAAGGCCCGCCGTGTAGGGGAGTGTTGCACGCTAAACCTGGAGAGCCCAAACATCCTCCCGCTGGTGTGGTGTGGTAGTTAGAAGATGGGAGCAGCTCAGGTGTCGACCTTGTCACTTGAACATGGTTCAGAATTACGAGTTCTGTCACCTCGATCTTGACAAGAATTCGAGTAGCTGAACAGCGCGACGTTAATATTCACTCACTCACTTAAGAAAGTTTTTAACTGTCAGCTTCTTACAGAGGAAATATGATATGCAGAGAAGACTTAGATAAAGGTATCAAGGTCAATCCCAGACCTCCCTTTTGTGGGGGAGAGGGCTTATACATTCTAATAAACACGTAGATGAAAGCAGAAAATTTTTTAGAAATAAATTAATCTATGAGGTTAAAGCAAATCTATGAGGTTAGAATGCCTTTCAAAATATTTTAACCAAATTATTAAATTTTTTTTTTGCTTTCATATCGAATTTATAATTTGTACTTATTTCTCTTTTCCATTCCATATTAAATATTACTAATTTGTTAAAAATCATCAACAATAGGTATGAAACGAATCAAGAACAAAATACTTACTATTATTAATTCAAAAAAATTTCTTTAATAAAAGATAAATTATTTTTAAAAGTAATGATGCACATGCAAACAATTAAATATCTCAAAGGGTTTCCCATAGGCTAAAGAAGTAAGCAATAAAAAATAGGACAAATAAAGAAAAATTTAACTAATCAGTTGAAAAGACATAAAAGGGCAAACTAACACTTCCAAACTTTACAAAAAATTTTAATAAAATATATTTTTATATTTAAAAACATTTAATCCTCATAATTTTTCATATCTTAAGCCTAAATATCAAAGACGGCACTTTATTTACAAACAAACAAACAAAAAAACATGTGCTAAAAATAGCCCCGAATAATGAATTATCAACATTGTTAATGAATAAGGTTTGAAATAAAAATATTGTATATGCGGCTCACGCCTTGTACTCACGCAAATGATCAAATCCCGTCTTCATCCTTTTGAGAAGCTGATGCCGCCGTTGCCATAGTGACAACTGACGCTCTTTCTCCTGTAAAGAGAAAAGATAGATTACTAACTTTTTCTTATTTGAGCCTCAGGCGAATATATTGTTTCTGACATTTCTGAAGCGCTCTTTATGCGCTATTTTTAAACAACCAAGCCGTAATTTAATTTTCTTTCCAATTTTCGTACAGTTAAGCATGCCGACAGTATTTTAACGAGATAGATAAGGATTATAGATTTTATTTTTTTGTTATACATTTCAGTTAACGAATCAAACAAAGTATTGTTAGGAAGCAGTCAGATAAATTAAGATTATGAGCGGTGAATTGGAAATTTAAAAGCAAAACGTTTCCTTATTTGTCTGAAGTATTAATTTTGTAATTCATAAGCGTTTGAAAAGTTAAAACAGAGAGCAATATCATTTTCTGAAGATGAAACAAGCACAGCCTTGAGGTATCCGACTGCGTTCGGAATCGTGATTTTGAAAAAGCGTTTGAATGAATATTTTTCAATTCCTACTATTAGTTCACTCTTCCTATATATATATATATATATATTCCTATATATATATATATATATATATATATATATCTTGTTCAAATTTTCAATCATTAATAAAATACTTTCTATTTATCCATTCAAATTCAAATACATTTTTAAAAACTTGTAGCGGATGACACTTGATGTTAATACAGTTTTTTCAAATAATAATTCGTTAGTTTAATTAAAAAATGAATAAATAGCAAAAAAAATAATAGTCCAACAATACATATCGTAAGGAAAATCGTTCACTGAGTTCCTGTAGCACAATGGATACCGCGCGCGTTGGACTTCTAATGCAAAGGTCGTGGATTTGAATCCCACCTGGGATGGCTTAATTTCTGAGGATGCTATCGCTTTTTTACTATACTATTTTATAAGAATAATTAAATTTAATTAATGAATAAACAGTAACAAACAAACGAAAAATAGTAAAACACTGTATATAGAAAGGAAAAAGGAAAATTGCAAAGAAAATCGTTTTCTATTTTGTCACTTAATATTGTGATTCTGTCATATGTATAAACATATTTATATTAATTGTAACTATTTAATGAAAAGTAACTAAAATGAAATTTTTCTTTGTAGACCTAAGTAGGAACTGACTTAATTTTTTTTATATATTACTTGTGTGTGTGTGTTTTTGATGTATAATGTCCTTTAAATTAAAATATATACATATAAAGTTGAGTTGTTTTAAGAATACTTGACACACACACGCACACGCAAAAAATATTTAAATGTAACTACTCATCGCCAAAAAATAATAAATGACATATATTTTCAAAATATTAACCTTTCGTGAAAAAAAGATTCTATAACAATAATATTTTGCCTATATATTGATAAGATTTCTGTACAGAGATAGAACTAACCTCTTCTAATTTAGAGTGAGTGAGTGAGTGAGTTTTGGGGTTATTGGCGCAAGAGCTTCTAATTTAGAGAGAGAGAGAGAGAGAAGTGTATTTATTTAATATATCAGAGTATTTTTTGTAATATATCAGAGTAGAGGAATTTTAACAAAAATCACCGGTTATTATTTCAATCGATCCTGAGAATAATGTGAATTTTTCAAAAAAACCCTAGTCCAGGCTCTGTTGTGAGAAATGTTTACTATATATGTATATAAGCAGAACATTATTATTATTGAAGCATTTTTTGTAAAAGGAGAACGTTTGGAAAATATACGATTTTTTCTTCATTTTTTGCCAAAAAATTGCAATTAAATAATTTTTTTTATTGTAATAATATTCTTAAAACTATTTTATATGTACATTCTAATTAGACACTATATATATATATATATATATATATATATATATATATATATATATATATATATATATATATATAAAGAGTTATTTATACGCTTTTGCAAAATCAAGATTCCGAGCGCGTACTCAGATACCTGAACAGAAAATATAAGTTAGTTTGAAAAAATTAATTTTAAATAAAGAATTCTGAAAAAAAGTTTTAATAATCTTTCTGTGTGGTTACGTTTCCTTTTTAAATCAACTCCACTTTGCTTAAATGTTCATGTTTTCGCAAAGAAAAAGATAGAATTAAAAAAATAATAATAATAAATATTTTACAATGAAATTCAAATAAAAATATTTCATATAAAACCTACTAAAATATTCTTACAGAGGTATATATTTTTATCATTAAATAGAACCATTTTCAAATAATTTTTACTTCTGAATCTTTTCATTACAAAAAATACTTACTGGCTCAATTATTCCCTATACAATTTTTAATTCTGTCCAATCTTATAAAGAATGTCTATAAAAGTTTTTCTTAAATATACTCAATCACTTTACTGATTGCCTTAATCCTTATTACTTAATGATTTACGCACTCTTTTAATTAATAAAGCTAAAACGAGTCATTAAAAAATAAGAAGGAAAAACCTTTGCGCATCTAAATGTCTTTTTAGATTGCTGCTTTTACTGCTAAAACAAACAAAAAATTGATGTAATGTATCAAATTACTTTGCATACTCCATTTAATAAAAAGCCATAACAAGTTTGCATAAAATATGTAGGTAGATAAAGAAAGATCACTTGTGAATCAAATTAACAACTCAAATTCTAAGGTATTAATATAGATAGAAAAATATACTCGTGAAAAATAAAATTTTGGTACGAGAATTGCAGGTGTGTAAAGTGAAATAAAAACTTTACATCCTCAAAATAGAAACTTAAGAAAAAAATTACCAACTGCATCCTCTAAACTTTTTCCAAGAAAATTAGAAACTGTATGTTATTAGATGTTATAACAATCATTGCAACCAAAGCAATAAAAAAAAAAAGAATGAAAATCCAACAACTTTTCTAAAACAAACTCAAAACTATTTCATGCATTTGAAACAAAATACTTTTAAAATTTAAAAGAGTAACTCTTATGTTATAATTGCTGCCATGTCGCATTTGAAAAACGCCGCCAACTTTTCATAAACAAAGAAAAACTTTTTAAAAATTGTCTAACTAAATCAAATAAAAAGTGTAATTTTTCAGAAAATACTTTTGATAAGTGTCATGTGCAGTGACAGGTTACCTGAAACTTGACCATGTGTATCCATGAGTGTTCTCACATGCTAACCATTGGCACATCAACAAACGGTCCGCAAGATTAGAGAGAGCGAGCACTTACTATCCGAAACCGGATCTGGCAAATGGGTATGAACTGTCCAGCAACAGTGAGAGAGGAGGCCGCGAAAACCGAGCGTCCGGTGAGGGTTGCCGCTCGCAGACGCTCGCCAAATAGACAAACTTTTAGTAAGTTTTCGGAAAGACGAACATAACAAACGCGTTAAGATTCGTTGTAACGGTGCGTAAAATTCCAATTTGTCAAGCTTTTAAAACAAAATTACTCTTCGATTTTTGATAAATTGAGGTAGCTTTCAAATATGAGTTAAGTTTTTCTCGTCTTATTGTCACTTATATGAATCTTAAGAATTATTCGAAATACATAATCAGTCAGATCAGTGGTGTAAACAAGGGTAGAGTTTTGGAGTGCAAACCCTTCCCATACGCCCAGAGAATTTTAATTTTTAGCGTAAAGATTATGCATCGGTGCTTTTATCGATTGGCGAAACGTACACCTCCACACTGGGGGGAGGGAAGGATTCTACGGAACCCAAAGTCTGACTGACCCCACGTACGTATGCTTTTTTTAAGATTCGGCTTTTTGTCCCAAACCTAGCTTTGTAGAGGGCCTCGTTACGCCACTGTTTTTATCTATGTTATTTTAAAATTAAAATCCCTTCCATAAAAGTAACCCATGACGCCACTGAGTAAGATTTTAAAGTCATATCTTTCTTTCATTGGCGTAACGTATACTCCCGCATTTCGGGGGGCAGGGCTCTAGGGGGCCCAAATCCTAACTGACGCTAAGTATGTACTCTTTGTAAGATCCGGCTTAGGGCCCAAAACCTGACTTTGTAGGTGGGCGCTAATCTTCTCCGTTATGGCACTGCTTTCTTTCTCGTTGAGTTTAAAAAGCATATGAAATATAGTCGGACATCCATTTTACGAAACTTTATTTTGCGAATATCTCTATTTTACAAACTTTTTCCTGGAACCAAGAAAGTAACACATATTGAAAATGAATTTCTATTTAACGAATTTTCCACATAGCGAATCACTCCCCGGATTTAGCGAATTCGTAAAATATACAGGTCCGACTGTATTTTTAACTAAGCCTCTTACCTAACATGCTCATTGGAGAAAGGTTCAAACAATTTTGGAATTGTTTTTTCCATTAATTTTATGATTAAACTCTGCAGTTTCTTCGGATTCTTCTTTCTCATGTCAATACTAAATCTTTTAATGAAATTAAATTTAAAGGTACAGTTGAACACATTTTAATGACGATAGTTGTTTTTGGAAATGGTCTGAGCCTATCATTTTGTTCCAATCCAATTGCTCATTTTTGAATTGGATAAGACTTTATTCGTGTATTTGGTAAAGGGGGAATGAGAGAGAGAGAGAGAGAGAAATGTAAGAAACTTTTAAATAATTTTAAAAATTAAACAATTGCCTTTTTAATGTTTCATTTAAAAAAAAACATTGTGTATAATTTTGCAATGCCTATGTTGTATAAGAAAATTTATTTTGATTTGAGATTTATTGAGGTGGTACAAGGTTTTAAAAATTCCCTAATTCCTAAAAGTCTGTTATGTGTTATTTAGATATATAAATTAATGAGGAATAATTTTTCTTTCAAAAAATAAATGAATACAGTTGCAAAAAAGAAGCACAACTCTTAGAATAAAAGAGAAAGTGAGAGAGAGTAGAAATTTGGATAATTATTTCATTATTATTAAAAGTAATTCACTATATTAATCGTAAATACAAAGGGAAAAAAGACATAAATTAAATTTTTCTTAAAAATTACATAGACTTTAAGCATAGGAAAAAACGCTTATCTCAGCTAAATTTCTGTAATTATGTTTTAAAATGTATGAAATAAAATTGGAATGCATTTGGGGTACAGTACTTTTATTTTATAATTTCTGAAAACGTTTTATTTATTTGCTCTTTCAATTAGCAAATGTAACGATACAAAAAAATGCATTTCTGAAAAGATTGGGTTTTTGCATGTAAATGCTTTTTAAATCCAAAAATAATAAAAACTTTGGCAATCCCCCACCCAAATGTTTATACATATCTTCGTTTTATTTGCTTATCCGTAGAATAGCAGAAGTGTCGCCAAACTTTGCTTAATCGCCAAATGATGGTAACCTTTTCTGTTTTGAAACGTTTTTCTTGGTTTATTGGAGTTCAACGCTGTTTCGGTTCTTTTTGGAGCACGTTTTCTCATCCCCCCTTCTTTGACGGCCCCAAAGGTAGCCAGAGAAAGGGGGTCAGATACGGAAGCCCCCCTTCTTACTTGTGGGGCAAATAAAAATTGACAAGCGTCGGCGTTGGTTGTGTACTTCAAGTGGATAATTAATGATTTTCTACAGGGAGATGAATGATAATGCAATTAAAATTTGTTCTTCGATAAGGATGCATTCATCGATAAAGTAGTTTCTTAATACATTATCATTAACAGAAAGTGATGCAATTTTAAATTCAACTAGAGAAGACTTTTAATACGCATTATAGCGGCGTAAAAGGATAGGAAGACATAAAGTATGCATGAAAATGAAATTTAAGATGCAATGTGAGTCTGAGTAAAATAATAATGATTTAATTTAAGTCAGATAATTTTTCCATTAGTTTCATAGGGGTTGTAAGTTATTTTAAAAAAACAGATTTAGTTTCATAAATTCGATAATTTCGTTTGCTTTGCGGTTGTTTTTAAAAAGCAAGTAATATAAAAAAAT